GCTAATTATACCCTAGAAAAGTATTACTGAAGTTACTCAAAGATATTCAGTAATAAATTACCGTAAATTACTGCCAATATTATATTTTGGCCAGTAGTTTCAAAATACTGAACAGTACGTACTGGATTACTAGCTGCAATTTATTATACAGAACTACTGGTGCTTACTACTTAATACTGATTATAATTTTCTAGTTTTATTGCTAAAATAAATTTTATTGATTAGCATCGCATTCTGTTAGAAAAAGAAAAAGAATATACACGAAACAAAATTATAATTTTAAAAATGTCTTCGGAAACTAATTTCATGGTGTTTCTAAAGCGGTCACCTATCCAAGCCATTTCTACTTCATAGGAATACGCTTGAGAAGTTTCTTAAGGGGTCTCACCACCCCTGAGGCTCTAAAATGATACCTAAATTTGGGATTTTTTTCTGGGTAAACAAATAACTTTATTAAAAAATTATGTTAAGGACGTTGTTGTACATATTTAATAAAGTAAACAAAATATATTTTTTTAATGTTCAAAATGGTGGCACACTGGCCCACTTGCCGAATGCCTTTTTTCTAAATCTTGAAATCGGTGTACAATATTGCAGGCACACAGTTTGACCTTAAACATAATACAAAGAATTTTCATTGTCTACATATTAAAAACTATGGAAGTACATAGGGATTTTATTTTACGAAAAATGTGTATTATTCGCCAGTACAAGTGTTTCTTAAAATAGCTGCCATTTCGAGAAAAATTAATATTTAAAAAGATCCCTAGGTACTTCCAAAGTTTTTAATATGTAGATAATGAAAATTCTTTGTGTTTTGTTCAAGATCAAACTGTGTACCTGGAATCCTGCACACCGATAGAAAAAAACGGATTCCGCAAGTGTAGGCCAGTGCGTCGCCATTTTGGACATAAGAAAAATAAAAAAATATTTTTTTGGTTTCTTATGTATGTACAATAATGTCCTCTAAGCAGATTTTAAATAAAGTTATCCATTTATCCACAAAAAAATCCCAAACTTAAGGTATCATTTTAAAACCTCAGGGGTGGTGAACCCCTTAACTGGAAATATTATCCGCGGGATAATATTTAGGATTTTCCTGATCCCGGTGGCTTCTAAACAGAACATATTTATACCGACGACCTTTTAAAACTATAGACTTCCCCAAAGCTATGAAATTAAGATTTGTTCTCTGTTTCATGTTCTGAGTTATGAAATAATACCTGGAGAAAAACTGTAACGCTTGCGCACTGGTACCGGCGAACGCCACTCTACCGCCGGCTAAAAGGATTATACGATGGAAGCTGTCGAAGATAGTGGAACTTGGTTGATGTATGGTGCATAAAATCGTGCGGTTTCGTAATGCGAAGGAGGTCATATGCGACACGAGGACGCCCGCCGAATGCGCGTCCTGCCCCGTTGTCGGCTCGTCCAGAAATAATATTTCGGGATCCGTCAGCAGCTGAAAGAAAAACTCGGGAATATGCACAAAACGCCCGAGCACATTTTTTGGACGAAAGATAAAACTTTGCTGAAAAATCTAAAATTTAGTTAAATATATCCAGATGCGAAAATAATTTTGTTGGACTAACAAAATAATTATATTGGATACTTAAATATAGAGATGAGTACTGCTGCGAAAATTGTAATATTCTAACAACCAAGTTTGAGTTTCTAACATAATTATTTTAATGGTCCAATATAAATGAGTAATTGCTGTAAAAAAAATCGCAATATTCTAACAACCACACTGAAAAAGTAACCTTACAATTATAGCGAGAATTATTTAGGTACGAAAAATTAACTAAAACGGATAAGTGATTAGTAAACACTGCGATACCACATATGTTTTGTATTTAATCAATATAGATAATAGAGACAAAAATTATATCTGAATTATTTATCAAATTTAGCAAGAAAGTTCTTCTATGACGTTTAATCAGTCCAGACTCCAATCCAGACTCCAATTATATTTGCGGTTATGAAACCAATATTTTCTTGTATATATTCTTAGAATATTGCTGCTATAAATTTTACGTATGACAGACATTTTTTAGCAGATACAAAAAGCAGCGATGTAATTTAAGTGTAATATTTAGAATTCCAGCTGAAACAGTGAAACATTTCCCTGAGTACAGTTTGACTTTTCAACATAATTATTTTAATGGTCCAACAAAATTATTTTCAGTTTTGTATCTCAATTTTAGGATTTCTTTTCAATAAAATTATTTTTTTCGCGTAGAATAATACGCAGGTCACGCACCTCGGTGGCAAAGGCTAGCCTCTTCTTTTCACCGCCCGACAAAACCTTATGGTCGTCACCGCCGCCGATGCAAGTGTCGCGTCTCTCAAGCAGACCGACGTTCCTCAACAAACGATCGATCCTGAGGCGAATGTCCGAGGTGTGGATTCTCCTGTCCAATTTCATTCTAGCCTGATGAAAATTTTGTGAAAGGTGTAGCGCGTAATCAACGCTAGGGCATGAAGAACGGACGAACTCTTACCATAAACCAGATATGCTCGAGCACCGTCATCGTTTCGATAAACATGTCCTCCTGATGCATGAAGCCGCTGTGGCGTCTCATGTACGAGGAGTCGGCCGACACACCGTTGACGCGAACATCACCGTGCACCACGACACCGGCTGCCAATTCAAGTAAAAAAAAAAAACAAGCTTTGAATGTCTTCTTCTTCTTCTTCTTCTTCTTCTTTAAAGTTTAAATTATACAGTCTTGGCCATAAGTAATAAAAAGCACCCTCAAATTATCGTAAACGTTCTAATATATCTGACGAAAAATAAATTTAAAAACACACGGAAAAAAGTGCTGTGGTTGTTGCAATAATATTATCTATGTTTGGAAAAGAAATGTATGTGAATTTAAGTTATATTGATATTACATTGAATATTATACATCTGTCAAGCTATACCCATCAGTATAATTCTCACAATCGTAATTTTTAGGATAAATAATATTTGATTAGAATACCCTCATATTTGCACTCTTAATCAAGTATCGCAAAAAATTGGAGGTACACGAAATCTTTAATCAATTGTCTTGTCATTTGATCAAAGACTTGCCAAACACTGGCGGTACATTTTTACCGCTGAGTACCTCGTATTTATAAATACGAGGTACAT